CAAGAGAGAGATTTCTTCGGCAAGTAATGAGGATTTTTGGGTTTTTTCATGTAAAAAAAAAGTAATTTATAATGCAGCCGCTGACTGATGTCGGTCAAAGTTTGCATTTTGCCTCGTAAGGCCTTGATTAATCTAGCACTTGTGTGAAATTAGGTGCAGTTGGGCTTCCCCTAACTCCTGCAGAGAAGTGAAGCGAGGATATTTAAGTTAATTCCAAATGTCCCCAAAAAATATAAGGTTAATTTTCAAAACGTGTAGTACAAGTTGTAATATGTAAATTACCATGCGCTTTGATTGTTTGCCTAATATAAAGTTTGCTAATTTCACCACATCTGTGGTTTGTGTAATTAAAATATTTCTTACGAGGTTCCTTCTATGCCATAATGCATGCGTCTATTTTTAAGGCTTATAAGCCGAAAAAGAAAAAATGCATCCAGCAAAATTGCTTTTGGAAAAAGAACGCGATCGTGCGCTTAAATTGGTAAGAATTCGTATTTCGCTTTCGCGCGTTATTTAATAAAAGATTTAGCTTAAAGAAAAGCGAGAGAATCCGAATGTAATCGAAGAAAATTAGAGAAGGCACGTCAGGAGTGATAACTGCAATGACAAAAATTAGGACGACAAAGGAACACCATGAACGGAGGTTGTCTTGCTTTGGCTAGTGTCTCGTAATTGTTACGATTTTCTTACAGAATGACCCAACTAAAGAACGTTAGACAGCCGAACGCAAAGGTATGGGAAGGTATATCAGCACTCTTTAAGAGGAAACGTAGCATTGGGGGATCCGACTACTTCAATAGTAGGTGTAAGTATTTATAAACAAATCACATCACTTTTAATACTGAAGAGAATGCAGGTTGACCGGGTCGCCGTCTCGATATTAATACTTCAATGAGTCAGACTTCACAAATTGACCACAAATATTCCAAAATGACGGCCTTAGATAGAAAGGTGAATATTAATTACACGGCCATATGAAAATAACTGGGGGAGGCGGGTCACCCACAATTTATACAAAAGTAAATTAATGACTAAATGAAGTTCCATCAAAATTCATTCCAAGCGAATTTGAATCAATTTAAATAAGGCTACAAAAACCATCTAATTCGTATTACAGATTAATTAAATGGTTTTACAATGGACAAAATGGAGTGGTGGAACAGTCATTAGTTTACTCTTTTTTTGCATACTGAATATCGCTCTTCTTAATTAAAGTGTGGCAAAACCACTAAGAGGCAGCAGAACCTGCTAACAGGAATGATGGATACATGGGTGCTTTATGCTGAGGTTCAATCATAATCTGTTGCGGTGTTAGTGCAGCATTCAAATGGGGAAATAATTTCTCCTATTCAACATCCTAAGACCGTGGTTCAATAACACCTAATTACTTCAAACAATCACAGTCCAGGACATGAGATGTCAAACTCCTAACTGCATCTTATTTCCTCTTTAATCTGATCAAATTGAAGTTGGTCCATTCTTGAACTTCCAGTCTTTGCTCACTAGTGTGGTACAGGGTTTAACGTATGTAATAAATGTTCCATGTTACTGTTAAAGCTTTATAACAAATCAATTTTTTAAATTTTCATGTATAACTAGATCAAAAATGAAAAATAATTTGTAAATCTTTGGTAAATTTTGAAAGTATTTTGGGCTATGGTTCATTGAGAACCTTGTTAGAGAATTTAATTTTATATGATGCAATAATATACAGGGTGTTCTCATATAAAAAAAGTAGCATTTTTTTATCTGAAAAAATGCGATTTTCTTTATAAATTACACTTAGTTCAATGGAAAAAATACACAATTTTGACAGTTTAACCGTCCGTTAAAAGTCACAACACCTAACAAGGTTATCAAATAGTGGCGACTTAATTGGAAAACAGACTGGGAAGTGCGAATTCAAATTTTAAGTAAGTGTAAATGTGGTCGTTAATTTGAGATTAAACACAATTTCGAATAATGGTATGTTTTAAGAAATTATTTGTTGCTTAATTTTTGTTTAAATAATTGAGTAGGTGTTTGATTGTATTATAATTTTCATTTAGAGAAACATCTGGAAAAAATAATGCGTGAAATGTTTTTGTTAAACATATCTCATTTAACTCCCAGGAGGTTTATCGCACCAGTAAAAGCTAATTAAATTCAACGACAACTCATGTGTTGTCGCTGCGAAAGCCAGGTACTATTTTTCGTTCGAAGACGCGCAGAAAATTAAGGAAGGAGAAGGAACGGAACTGAGAGAGGGACGAATTGTTTTAAAATGCAGAGGAAGACGTTAATCAGGTTTGCTTGTTTGTGGTGAAACTTTTAATCGTTGCTTTGTTTGTAGCCACTTAATTGATTCTTTAAATGTCAGCTTGTAGCGTATTTGACGTAATTAATTGAAGATCTGTTTTGTCATTATAAAGTTTTGTAGAAGAGAGTTGAGTGCTCTAAGAATTTTTGATTATGCATTTAAAGTCAAGTTAAGCTGATGCGATTTGTCTACGTTTACGAGAAGTTTCCCCGTTTCATTGAAAGGGAGTTTTTTGAATCAAGTGCCCACTGTAATTACTACGAACGCAGGATCGTCTGAATCACGTGAATGTGATGTTTCGTGCCAGTATCACCTGGTATTTTGTGTAGTCGCGCCTGTTTGTTTGAAAATCGCAATTACGAACCGGATATTTTGACATTATTACAATAGAATATTAAGATTTCTTTAATTAAATGTTCATTCGATCGTTTGTAAACTTGGGTATTGTTTATTTGAACCCTGAGTGCCTATTTTTCTTTCAGCTTATTTGATTTGACTTTTTGTCGAATAAATTTAGTTTCATCTGTAATTGTTCCTCCGTTGTGTTTAATCCGAGCCCAAAATTAACGACCTAAGATAGTGAAGTTTTTATGGTTAAAAATTTTTTTTTTTGTATCCAAGTTCGCTGTGTTTCTTAAATTAATAAAAACGAGTCTTATCGTGAATTTTTGTAGTATCAGATTGTTTATAACAATAATCAAAATTAGTTTATTAAACATATGCGTGAGAGAAGTTAACCTCAAAAATTATTAAATCATGCAAATTTTTTAGTTTCATTCAAAAAAGTTTTTCATGTGGAACACAAAAGGCACAGCACATAAACCGCTTTTGCGGTCCAAAGCAGTACATGTCACAAAACAATAGTGAGAAAAGGTTGACGGATCTTCAGGTAGGGCAAAAACTGTGAAGAGCATCTTCCTTGCATCCCCCACGTCGGTTTTGAGTCTGCTTCTTGAATGGTATAACCGTTGGGTCTGTGGGTACCTTCTAATATCTTCAAAGATGTCATAAGGGACAGGTTCTCTTCACATTCTAATAGGCATCCTCATATTTGGATTCTTGCGCGGCGCTGAGTTACTAGCTGAGTTTTTGTCCCTGATTGTTTTATCAGAGTTTCAAACACGGAGACGAAGTAATGGCAAAAAACGACTTTGGAAGGATATTAGAAATGGTGACTTTGTGAAGATGGTGGTGAGTAAAAATTGTCCCACAACAAGTGTTATATACGTCTTTTCCGCTATAAAAACGATGCCGTCATTGATTTAGAATCACATTTCAAGACAGTTTTCTTAATAGATTTTCGCCACTTGTTTTTTTTTGTACATGTTGGCAGTGTTGGCAGCATATGTCTGAATTGGATACAACAAATCAAATGACGTCAACGGTTCTATAGCGAAAGACGTATAACCACAGAAAATTGAACCATCCTAAAATACAAGCACTCGCAATTCCGCTTACTCCTAATAGCGCTGAAACTGACTAATTTGTACCTTAAGTGGGCAGAGGTTTAATTAACTAAAACTCTAATAGGACAACAAAATAAATAATCAACAAATTCAAAAAATTAATCTTATCCAGATAAGTCCTATTAAAATATCCTACAGTGTGGCAAGTTAACGGCGGACATAAGGAAAATAACATGGAAAATACAATTTTCGCAATTCTGCTCCCCATTTTCATCCTACAGGAATAATAAAAAACATCCTCGGCTGATAATTACAAATATCCCATCGGATGACATGACAAATAGGCAACTGGGAGGTCTCATGCATAGCCTAAAAATTAAATTAAAAAATCCTAAAAATTGGTAAAAACTGGTAGGCCATGGAGAAGACGTGTCGCGCTTGCTAGGTACCTACTAGAAGTAGTTCTCAAAAATGAGAAGTAACGTGACGTCATCACTTTCTGCGCGTATTGTTGCCAACTAAGTGGTATCATAGGGGTAATTTAAATTGAGGTTTGAACAGTAACATTTGCTGTGTGAGGCAATGGCACAAAGTCAACGCGCGCCCCCTTAGGAAAGTCATCATGGACTCCTCCCGGCAACCATTTCCAATGCTTTGCGTCAAATGAACGTCACGATGTACTTCTCATTTTGAGATTACTCTACAACAAATCGTTCCTTTGGCTATCATCTCATTCAACAGAAAGGGTGAAAATAATTACCTATAAAGGATTGACGGTCATCAAACTTAACTGAAAATAAATCATGAACTTCGCCGTGTATTTTCCCCAGTATAAACACATTGACTTCTTTCTTCTGTAGTGTAATCTATTATTCATGCTGGTGTGTTTATTTCAGAGATGACAGTTAATACTCAAAGAATTAGGTGACAAATGCGGAGGTAAATCAATTGCCAACCAATTTTTTACTACCTTTTTGGATTATTTATTTCATTTTTAATATCTTTAAAAAAGGGCTTAGGCCACGCTTTTTTTGGTGACTCTAAATGCCGATTTTAATTTATTTATCCAAGAGTGTTTTTATTTTTTTTCTTTAGTAGAATGGGGAGCAAGAATTGGCCGCAAAATGTTTTCCCCCATGTTATTTCCCTATGTCCCGCCGGTCAAACTTGCCACGCTGTTTGAATCTCGGAACGAATGCAGCAAATTAGGTACTTCTTTTTTTGTTGTGTTGGTTATTGTCAGAACAATTTCCAAAAAAAACTATACGAAAAGAACGTAAAAAGAACATGTCTCTTTTTCCGTAATTTAGTCGCAATATAACATAATAGATGGCGCCCAAAGCGAAATCTAGTACGGTGATGAAGATCTATACGTCGATCTTCGCGCGAGAGGCGAAAAATTGGCGATCCAACGTATCATTAACGTATGCCGGCGAAGGTTTTCGATATAGTAAAAACGCGGGCGAGTGAGGCGGCGCAGCGTAAACAGCAAACGTGACACTTCTTGTAGACATTTTGACTTCCTGTCACTTTGAGTAGTTTCAATTTTAGTCATTAATTGCAAGTAGGATTTATATTAACTGTTTCGTTCAGTTTGAAAGAGAAAGATAAATACTTGCTTGTATTGAAGAGTAACACAACTGTAAGATGGCTAAACTACAGTATTCATATTATCCCATGTTTCAGATCAATGAAATAAAACTGGTTGCTCACCACAACGCGGCGTTAAGTTCCCAATTTCAAAAGGCGATGCGACACCTCGCAGCGTGTAAGCGACGAAAGTGCTCCGTCTGTTCCTACACTAAGGCAGCTTTCGGGATTCCCCAAAATCCGAAGTACGAGTAAGTATCGCGCCTTTCAGTCAGCGGACGCGATTTAATTTTCGTGTCGTAGACGCAAACTATTCTCGTGTCTACAAACGCCCTTCCAAGAGATGCGCAACATGATCAAACCGCCCCCGTCGCCGATAAGCGGAGAGGGCGAAAGCATGTCCGAGTGGTTCCGTCCCCTGTTCAACCCATCTGCTAGTCCTAGCGAGTGCTCGTCCTTGAGCATACCTTTCGCCGAGCTTGCCATTACGTTTATGGACGACGCCTCGGATTCGTTTTCGAATTGCCAAGAGATCGACGACAAGTACAAAGACGACGGTATTAGTCATACGAGTCAGGCCTGCGCTAGTATAAGAGGTAATGATAATTAATCAGATTATATACACCTAAATTATGAGAAAGCGTGTGCGGATGGGAGCCGTCATGAAAATCAGTAGTTACTCGCCTCAATGCATCACGCCACCACAACTCGCTTATATATAAATAGATAAGATAAGATCAGATACGGCGTTACACAGTTATATCTAACCATGTAGAGGTGGTGGAATCGAGTTCTTCCAAGCTCGATTAAGTCAGAGCCGAGGTTATTTATATAACCTCACTTTCGGATTCAGCTACCCCCAAAAGAAAGACTAACTGCCCAAATGCTTTTAATTTTTAGGTTTCGGAAGCGATTCCGGTTTCGCGTCCGACTGCTGTCCCGATTACAAAAGCAATACGACGTCGAAAGAGAAGTTCCATCCGAAAAGTACCCTCGACGAGGCGGACTGTGCCAAACTGACGCGGACGAAGTGGACCGCATCGTTTAGAAAACTAATTAATCGCATTAAAAAATGAGAACGCGAAACAGGTAGGAGATCTGGCCGCGACTTGTGTTTTTGTAAGACGAAGAATCATTAAGGGGGTCCAAATTGTCAGGGATGGGATTGGCTATTTACTTCTCCAAATGTCCTTTTTCAAATCAAAATTGTGGTTAAATTTGTTGATTTTGGCCGATGTGACATAGTTTAAGACGGTTATTAGACTGAAATATTTTCACGTTATAATCATGCTTGCGTACGTAAACTGTGACTGTTGAATTTGTCAAGGGATTACCTCATTTTTGAAAACTATTCGAGTAAATTACAATTTTTTATGGAGTTCTCAATTTTTTCTTAGGCTAGCTAGAGTATTATAAATTTGACTGATTTTGAAATAGCTTTAGGTGAGTTAGTGTCTTTGTTCGTGACACGATTACGTGTAGATCACAATACTGTAGAATTTGATGTTGCGTAGGCAATAGAGGTGCATAAGCGATGTGTTGACATATTGCTGAATGCAATGCTTTTCATCCGATCATTTGTTGACAAAGCTGACATGACATCACGATTTTGTGATAATTTTTGTGTGCGTAGCATTTGTAAGTTTTAAGTGTAGTAGACACCAATACGTAACGCTTGTTATTCTCACAGTTGTAAATTGTAGAAACCTTTATCTATTGAATTGAAATGAATTCAGTGTAAAATTTAAACGTGATGTTTTTCTAAAAAGAAAATTGTTTGTAGGTGTCTTAAGATGTTTGTTAAAGTTTTGCCAATTTTCTAAAGAATAATTAGGGGGGTATTTTTGACATAAAAGCGTGGTCAAGTTGATCACCTTGTATTATAAAACAAAGGCTGTAAAAGGTAAATTTTTTGTCATTCCAATTGAAAGTCAATCTATGGTTGCGACAATTAGAACAGTTGAACTTTGAAGATCTTGGCAACTTTTGATGAATTTAATAATGTTGCGAAATGTTAAAAGTAATTCCAATTAGTGTCAGTACCTTATACTCAATTAGTGGTAACATAATCATAATTAGCATCCAAGCAATCCATAGAAAGTAATCAATCCTACTTGACTTACTAGACATGATTTGTAATTGAAGAAAAATGGATCCATCGCCACCTTAAAGAAACCCAATGCGTTTTTTACTGGGTTTCAGCCAAGACTGCTCTACCAACCCAACTTGGGTTTTTAGCCTGAAATTAGGTAATCTATACGAACATCACCACATGGGTCTATTGTGGAGAACTGCCTGGAAGACATTACTGAAATCATTATGAAAATAACACACATTCGGCCTAGCGATCGTTTTTTGCCTCCGTTTTTTACAGAACATGCCGGTTATTCGCGATTCAGATTAACAGTGAAACTTCTGGTGGCAGCCATTGTAATTAACACAGGTGGGAGAAGACGGCCATTTTGTTTTATTTACAATGACCAAAAGTAATACAAGTAAAATTCACTTGCAAAAATTTCATTTGCAATCTTACACCTTAAAGAGCACGGATAGGTTAAAATGTCACATTTTATCACTGTACTTTCAAAAATTTTAAATGTGACCAATGCAATTATGCGACCAACAATAATGATGAGATGATTTAAAAAATCATCGTCTACTGCACAATGTTTCCAAAGTCTTTAATTGTGAATAGTGCAATTACAGAACAAAAAATTGGAGATATATGCGCCATTCTTTGACACACTCCGCTTTGAATATCTTCAGCTGCTATCAGAGTAATTAATACCGTTCGCTTAAAGCGTCACCTATTAACTCAACCTTCTCAAAAATTTTATTTGTGATCAGTGTACTTTCGCTTAAAACTTAAAGCGGCATATCATCAAACATGCCACATTCAAGGATGTACGTGCAGTCTGTGCGACAATGCCACAAGTAGTAAGTAATTTTAATCGTCATTTATTAAAGCACGTTTATTTTGTGGTCAGTGTAATTATTCTGTTTTAAAACGGCAGGATAAATTCATTTACAAACCTGCTCGAATAAGCATAATATATTTACAAACCGCTCCCACTTACACTCGCCATTTGTAAATTACACCAGCGCCTCTAGTGTTAAAATGATTCGCTAATAGCGTTCCGATTTCTGTCACTTAAAGTCTTCAATCTTGTGTATATCCGCGCATAGTATTTCCGCAGTGTTCTGGCGTATCCTCGGAGCCATAATGTACGCATTTGAACTTTTTGAAAAATCTTTAAAAATAACATATCAGCGAAAAAGCGAAAAACGAAAATGTCAAATTTCGTTTTCAGTTTCCCCAGCTTAAACGGTCGGAAATGGACTGTTCCAATTAGCACCTTCTATGGGCACTTTTTTGAGAGAATCTAAAACTTATCATTTATCAGCATTTCCATAACAAGATGTAAAAACTACAGGAGTATAAGTACTTTCTTATTTCTTATGGGTGCCATATTGGATTTTTACAAAATGAGATGAGAAAACAAAAAAAGAGAAATTTCAAATGTTCTACATTCATTTCTTTTTTATCCTTTATCTCATTCCGTCCAATATGGCGTCCATAAAAAAGTAGTACTGTAGCTTCTACATCTAGCGTGCTATGGGAATTCTGATAACAGATTCAGATTCCCTAAAAAAGTGCCCATAGGAGGTGCTAACGGGAACTCAGTTATTATGAAAGATTTTTCAAAAAGGAGTATTTAATCTATACTGCATCTCTCATCATTACAGAGATCCCAATGGTGAGCCACGAATTTGAACCACCTTGTACAATAAACGAACGGCATGAAGCAGATGGGAGCTTAGAGAAGGAAAGAGAGAGGTGTGATAATAATGTTTGTTTACTCATCCAAAAAATTGTTGCCTAGAGTTTGTTGGTGTAAGGTTAAAGCAGCAACCGTAAACAAGTAGAAATTGTCCACAACTTCTCTGCACGACAAATGAAACGATACCTTATAAATTTATCATATCTTTTCTGTTCATTATATGAAAAGTACAATGGAGATACGCCACTGGCCAAGAAACCCAGACAGCTGATATCATAAATAAAAAGTAAACAAGTTTTTGTCCACCGAGAATATGGCCACCACACAAAAATTTGCTTCAACGTGCAGTATTGCTTCTTGATAGGATATTATCAATCCCCCTTTCTTCCATGTCAAGGGATCGGGCGTCAACATAACCTCCAAATTTTGTACATTTGTTAGTCAAATACTAAATAATGCGAATGCGTAAAAATAATTATTACAGACGCAAACAATGTCCAAATTATTCCAAACCAAACAGTCAATCAGAGAAGACTAATTTTTAGGTTAAAATGACATGACCACGTGATCACGTCTATTACGCTCCGTCTGCACTCTCGTGAGACGGAGAGTTTGGAGTTAATTCCTTTTGTAATAAAAAAAAAACGATACAGTGTCAACACTTTTTCTGGTGCACCAACAATAGAACGCTTTAGAGGTAAGATTTTACTTGTGCCCACCCTCTTTCAGAACTCGCGAGCCGCCACTGCAAGTGTTAAGTGCTAAGGCGCTTTTTGTCACCACATGCTTGTCAACGGCCTCCTTTTCTTGACTTTTGGCCCCCCCCCCCCCATCTTTGAGGTTTCCTCGAACTCTTAACTTTTCTGTTGTATTAAAATCTTTAAACTAAATAATTCATTTATGTTTGATCTAAGGTAGTAGTTTGTTGCTATATAAATAAGTTAGAGTTAGTCATTAGAAACCGATACAATAAAAAACGTTGTTCATATTGATGTTTAATAGCAGCTCTTATTCAATTTAATACCATCAACAATTTCTTTAGCCATACAGGAGAACTGAATGCACAGGGTGTTCCTAAATATGATGCACATACAGAGGGGGCTAGTTATGCGACGTATTTTGTCACTACAAATTCATAGGCCTACAAACGCTTCGTTACCGATCTACAGGGTGTTATAATTTCCTGATTTTTAAAGTTTTTTCTTTATATCTCCTGCAGTTTTTGAGATATTTAGCTTGGAATATAAGTTACACCCAAGGATTGTAAAGTAAGAAATTAATTCTGTGGTTTGTTTAGAAACTTTTTGGTTTCTTGTAATTCAATTCAAATCAATTTTCTGTAGTTACCTAAACGGTCAATCCATATGTCTCCACTGTACATTTTCAAAACTTTATTTTTTGTAATTGGTCAATCGTTTCTGTTTCGAGGAACACCAGAAGTGGCCTCACAATGCACTTGCGAACTGCCTGTTTGTGCAGTACAGTTGATTAATACAACTTTTGTCTGACAAATTGCTACTTATTGTTGGCAGTTCGACTGTTTAAAGACTCCAGGTTACACTAGAAATCATGTGTGACACTTTCAGATTGATGTCGGGCTAATTTTTCTGTCTTCTTCAACTTGTCATATCTTCATCTCATGATGAATAAATTTCCAAGTATTGACATTTCTTTAAGTACTTTCTAAAACTTTAAATGTGACCAGTGCACTTGTTTTTCTAGAAAATGCCACTATTGATTCATTCTTGACAATCATTTTTTTAAAGATAATTTCTTTCATATGTTGGCTGTGAGTGTGGTTTAGTTAAGTTAAGCCAGAAATTGATCTCATCGGAGAACAAAATTTGTGTGCACTACATTTTGAATTTTTAGGGAAGATCAGTCGTCCTTTGCAGACGCCCTTAAATAATTTGATCATTTGATAATTATATACAACAAGTGCCTTTGTATTTTGTAATGTTTATAATTTATTTATTTGAATAAGTAGCATTCAATTAATTCATTATCATCGGGCGATCTTACATTTTATCTCACATTTTTTGAGATTGAAATTGACATTTATATATCTTATATGAAATGTTCAATACGAGAATGTTTATCATAAGTTATTAACTATACTTGCACAATGATAGCTTTAAAAACAGGATTTTGCGAATGTGTGCTAGGTGATTTTAATATTGAGAGAATTTACAAAAACCAAATACTGTCATAAAGCTTATCTAGAAAACAACAAAGTGAAAGCTATACACTTTTTTCCAAAATCTCACTGATAGTGGTCACAGATCGGTTTTTCACATGGCATTTATTAATTTTATGTTAAATTGTATGGTAGTAGGATCACAAAAATATCTCCGCTCCAATCTCAACTCTCAGATCGCCTTATTAATAAAATACAGGCGCCTACTACGCATTTTTCTGATCTGTATTAATACGCCACATTCATCTTCGACAGGGAGTTTCTGATCATTTCACCTCCATCACATCTAACTTTAAAAATCAGACATAAAAGCTCTTGAAAATCCCTCTTTAATAGTAGCCTCGGGGGCGGGACACTTCGCCGAATGCCCACAACGCCGACCCGATTTTTGGATGGTCCATATCGCCGACTAGGGACACTACGCCGACAGTGCCCACATCGCCGACAAGTGGACAAGGGACACAACGCCGACCATGCCCACATCGCCGACAGGTGTACAAGGGACACAACGCCGACCATGCCCACTTCGCCGACGGACACTACGCCGACCGTACCCACATCGCCGACAAGTGTACAAGGGACACTACGCCGACCATGCCCACATCGCCGACAAGTGTGCAAGGGACACTAGGCCGAACGTGCCCACAACGCCGACTATTCGGAATAAAATTACTAGGGACACTACGCCGACAGCGACCACATCGTCGACAATGGAGAAGTTTCCAGTTTTTTGTTATTAATTAATTATGACAATTCCTCCACAAATGGCAAAGTTACAAGACTTTAAAGTTGCGATTGGAAAAATAATTTCGAGACGTCACTTCATCTAGTTTGCTAAGAGCATGCCTTGACCATGCGATCAAAAAAGAGTGGAGTCGCCTATGAATCACCTTTACAAATTTTTGTTTGTATGGGAAATCGTATTTCGTGAATTACGTAAAATGACGTCACCGACACTGCCGTTCCGCGCTGAATACCTAAACTTAAATAATCTATTTCTCAGTCATTTATTGCCGGATTTTGAAATTTCTTTTACTGGTTTATTAGTTTTGATCTATACTTTGATGTCATTAGGCTTAATATAGTAATATGTGGTTGAACGGTAAAAGATTAATGAATATCGCGATTCTTAAATTTCACATTTAGTCAAACAAAGCGAACAATAACTAGGGCTGATTGTATAAAGGCTGGTTGAACTTCGCTTGTAGTTAACAACTGGATTAAGGTATAAGAATGGTTAAAATTTGACGTTTTATCAAACTTCAACCAATTAGGTATCTTAACCCATTGATATAATCCAAACGAGGTTTAATCTGCTTTATACAACCGACCCTTATGCCCGTCAAGAATCAAGACGGGATTCATGAAACTAGATTAGCAAATACGATCTTAAATACACAACCAGTTATAATCGATCATTTGCGCATGAATCTACCATTATATCAACTATTGGTGACGTTTTCTGTCAATCCCAGAATTAATCTTCGATCTCGAATCAATCTACGAGTTAGTACGGGCATTAGTGTCCGCTTTACTAACAATGACACTTACTAAAAATATTATATTGCTTGGCCACCTTGGATTATAAGGTACGGTGCAATTCCATTCTGGTGCTAATCAATGATTAACTTTGACCATCGTTTATATAATAAAGATTTATTTTTAATGTTTAATGTGTACAGTATATGCTAAACAAGATTAGTTCATATTTTATGAATTTAATATTAACATAAGCACATATTTTAACAAATGAATTACTTTTTACTCCGTATTCACATCTTCTCAGTTCTCATAGTGGAATACATCCGTTTTTTCTCATAAAATATATTTTTATTTCAATTTGCTACCCCTCTTCAGCTAATTTCTTAAAATGTACTCATTATCTATTCAATATCCATAAGGGTTTTAGAAAGTCTAATCCGTTTTTCTTATTCCTCGAGCAATAATGAAATAACCTTTTCTGTAAATGTACGCTCTGCCTAATTTGCGCCTGCTATTTCCTGTCGGTCTCTGTATTCCCATTATACTCTACCATAAATTTACCAAAATGTTGTCTTAAAATCTGCATAGTTGCAGGTTTTTCTTAGAAAAACCCGTAAATATACGGAATTGCGGATTAATGTTTAAAGTAGGTGCCGCTCTTAGTAAAATATTGTTTACAGGTAGAGTGAGAATTTTCACCCTTTACTATGGGAACCTTTGCTGTCGGTCTCTGTATTCCCATTATGTATATTCCATCGTGACTTTATCAAAATGTTGTCCCAACATCTGCATAGGTAATTGAAGGTTTTTCTTAGAAAAATCTGTATTAGGATCATAGGTAAATACAGAATTGCGGATTAATGTTCAAAGAAGGTGCTGCTCTTAGTAAAATATTGTTTACAGGTAGTGAGATTTTTGACCTTTTTCTGTAGATAGGAACTTATACTACGGTAATTACTAACTGCATTTTAAACCAAGAAAGAATTTCTTTTAGTACAAACAAGGTAAATGTGTATTACTGTTTGTGGGGGTAGCAAATTATTCATAAGTAGGTACTAATTTACGACCTGCTTTAATTTTGCTATGACATGACGTCAGATAATGTGACGAAACGCCAGTGAAACAAAGTTACACACTTTAGTTTTATACGCACTGAAATAACTTGCATTGGCGAAGAATAAAAATAATGAATTCTACCACCGTGCCACCCTTTGAATTTGTGTTTATCTCGATAATTTCGGTGATTTGACAATTTTTTATAACACGATACCAATGTAAGTGTAAAAACGCTTAAAATATTTACACCTAGGTAGCAAATTGAAATAAAAATATATTTTATGAGAAAAAACGGATGTATTCCACTATGGGAAGATGTGAATATGGAGTAAAAAGTAATTCATTTGTTAAAATATGTGCTTATGAACATTAAATTCATAAAATATGAACTAATCTTGTCTCGAATCTTGTTTAGCATATTTTGTACACATTAAACATTAAAAATAAATCGTTACTCAATTACATAAACGATGGTCACAGTTAATCATTGATTAAAAGTACCAGAATGGGATACACCTTACCTTATAATCCAAGGTGGCCAAGCAATATAAGATTTTTAGTAAGTGCCATTGTTAGTAAAGCGGACACTAATGCCCGTACTAACTCGTAGATTGATCCGAGATCGAAGATTAATTCTGGGATTGACAGAAAACGTCACCAATAGTTGATATAACGGTAGATTCATGCGCAAATGATCGATTATAACTGGTTGTTTATTTAAGATCGTATTTGCTAATCTAGTTTCATGAATCCCGTCGTGAGTCTTGACGGGCATAAGGGTCGGTTGTATAAAGCAGATTAAACCTCGTTTGGATTATATCAATGTGTTAAGATACCTAATTGGTTGAAGTTTGACAAAACGTCAAATTTTAACCATTCTTACCTTAATCCAGTTGTTAACTACAAGCGAAGTTCAACCAGCCTTTATACAATCAGCCCTAGTTATTGTTCGCTTTGTTTGACTAAATGTGATATTTAAGAATCGCGTTCAACCAACCTTTTTTTTTCAAATTAAAAAAAACGCGATACATTCTTCTATACTTCCGGTGTAAAGATTTACGAATTTCAGTTTATCAAAACACAGCACCTATCAAATAGGGACAATTGATATTACTATATTAAGCCTAATGACATCAAAATATAGATCAAAACTAATAAACCAGTAAAAGAACCGGAAATAAATGACAGAAATATATTATTTAAGTTTAGGTATTCAGCGCGGAACGGCAGTGTCGGTGACGTCATTTTACGTAATTCCAGGAAATACGATTTCCCATATAAACAAAAATTTTTAAAGGCGATTCATAGGCGATACCACTCTTTTTTGATCGCATGCTCAAGACATGCTCTTAGCAAACTTGGTGAAGTGACGTCCCGAGATTATTATTCCAATCGCAACTTTAGTCTTGTAACTTTGGGATTTGTGGAGTAATTTTATTGATTCTATCACATTTTTGTTTCATTTTACTTAAATTTTCATAATTAATTTATAACAAAAAGCTGGAAACTTCTCCATTGTCGACGATGTGGTCGCTGTCGGCGTAGTGTCCCTAGTAATTTTTTTTGCGAATAGTCGGCGTTGTGGGCACGTTCGGTCTAGTGTCCCTTGCACACTTGTCGGCGATGTGGGCACGGTCGGCGTAGTGTCCGTCGGCGAAGTGGGCATGGTCGGCGTTGTGTCCCTTGTACACTTGTCGGCGATGTGGGCATGGTCGGCGTTGTGTCCCTTGTCCACTTGTCGGCGATGTGGGCATTGTCGGCGTAGTGTCCCTAGTCGGCGATATGGACCATCCAAAAATCGGGTCGGCGATGTGGGCATTCGGCGTAGTGTCCTAGACCCGTAGCCTCACGTTAAAATATCTAGCGACGTTATACAGTGATCAAGGACCATTTAGTTAAACCTAGTCATATCTGGAACAAATTTCAGGGGTGAGCATTGCAGTTTTTAATTATCGTGAGTTGCGTTAACAATGACAAGTAGTTACTTTATAAACAGCCCAGGTTTGTTTTGTTTATGTCTTTTGATTGTAAAAAAGATAATTTAAACAATATTCAACTACAATATGGAACGATGGTTTTGAAATATAATTGAATCAGCAAATTTAAAACATTTCATACAATTAAGCACGTCATTTGAGGGGAGGAAGTCAATTTAGTATAACATGTTGTAGAATTGGAGAGGTGTGTATTAAAAGGAATACAATAGCTTCGCCGCCTCGCCTCGCGCTACCTATACAATTTAACAAAACATTTATTGGAAACTTTTGTCTCGTCTATACTTAAAGTATAGTGATAATCGGCACCCCAATTCTAGTGATGGATCTCCAATTGTCAATCGATGTATTAGGTACTGCATAATATGCTGCAAGTAACGCTATCATAGAATTGTACTACTGGGGGTATTACCATATCTACTGGTACTGTCTAATGTCTTATAACAGATCAAAAAATTATCATTAGAATATTGGTCCAACTTTAACTTTCACACTATAGTTAATTTAGTCTTCTTGAGCTCTTTATAGCTCAAAATTTGTCAAATATTTGACACATGATATTCTATACACTAAGATCAGTATTGTTATTGTATAAGTTAAAGAACCTTTTGCCTTGTCGTGTAGCTAATGTAGGAAATTTATAAACTGTTAGCGATCATCTTATGCATACTGTTAACTAATGTTAAATACAAAATAATATGCAATGGTGCAACTATTCAAATGCAAATTGTGTCTAGACTACTGAAATGTTCACCTAAATCATTTATTGAAGGTTGCCTATAGTTGTTAAAATAGACCGTAGAGGGAGCCTTCTCGCTCTGGAATAATATTGCTCCTATTTTAGAAGATAATTGGAATTGTCATTTTCAATTATAACAAGTAATACATCCATCTTTTGTAAAAATTCTATAGTAATATTTGTGCCAATCAATTATTTTATACAAATAATCCGTTTTGGAAGAAAGAATCTGTACAAAAAAATTGAAGCTGGGAACAAGAGAAATTGAAAGCATTAATTTAAAATGTGATCAGCTACTTTCTGGTACAAATGTACGTTATGTTTATTATTAAGGTGTAGCTGTACAAATTATTTAGTCGATGATCCTGGAAGTATTTTATTTGTGATGGTAGTAGTCTATTTGACCCTAACCACTATTTTTCTAAGTCAATTTGGAATACTTAACTTATTTTTAGAATTTTTTAATTTTATGTTTTTATATATTTGGTGGCAGCTGTAACTATTGTAAATATATTTTTAATATTTAGTACCCTGTAATTTGTGTGTGACTTTTCTTTATAATTGTAGAAAGTAAAAGATACATAAAATGCATTTTTTTTTGGTAATTTATTCATTTTTTATTACTTATTCAACCTTACGCTCTCTCCCAGAGGGCATCCAACTCCTTCCTGGACATTCTGTGTCCATAAAGGTGTAGCAGCAACCTAGGGGGGAACAAGTACCATTTTTGGTGTACACAAAAAATTCGAATTAATTCATGTTAATTAAGAGGGGTGTACACAAAAAATTCAAAGTTGTTTCCCCCTACGCAACAACCGCTAAAGAACATAAAATATACATATTCAAGTCTCTGGTTTATTTGCAGCTTTTCTCGCTTTCGCTCGTCGTACAGATCGTTTGTTATTCGACTTAACACTACCCTGCAACTTGCCCGCCTTCCTCATGGCTTGGAGTTTTAAATTCTTTTTCACAATTTTCTTCTTTTTGGACGCCTTATCTGTATATTCAACATTTATACGGCGCCCATCCAAAAAAGTGTGATTTAACGATAAAGCTTTCTAAAAAATACCTTGTGAAGAAAAAGTCACTTCATTTGTACGTACCTCGTAAGACGTTTTATCTTTAAATTCCACAAATGCGAACCCTTTAGAAGATTTACTTAATCTTACGTCAACAATATTGCCTGCTTTAGCGAAGTGTTTGCGGATATCGTCTTCAGTAATGGCGTATGATAAATTCCCTACGAACACTACGTATCGAGTTTTAGCAATTGATTTTTTCTTATTTTCATTTGTTGATTCATTGTGTAATGGAGAGGTGAGCGAATCGATTTGTTTAACCTCTTCACCAACTTGCTCCTCACATTTTGATTCTTCACTTTGCACTGTCTCGGAATTTGCTTTTTTTCTTTCTTTACTTTCTGTTTTTGATTTTCTTTTAGGCATTTCTGATTTCTCAATTCTACAGCCTCGTGTGAAGTGAAGTCGCCAAGTTTATTACCAAATGAGGTTAAGTTATTGTTTACATTTTGGTATTGGTACTCATACAGCAAGCATTTGTCATACTTTGTATTAGTTATACTCCTAATCAATATCTATTTCAAGGATATGCTATTAATGATAATGGCATTGAATTTATTAAATTCAATGATAATGGTAACAACATTTTAAAAAATTCAAACAGTAACTGCCCACGTTAAAATTGGGAAAATTTGGGAATTATTATTAGAGTTCTGGATCTTCCCCCCATAAAATTCTAGACAAATGGTAGAAAGAGTTCTGACAATTAATTCAGTCAATTGATTTCCTGTTTTCACTATTGTAATCACTAATCAGCGTAAAAAACATACTATTGTTCTGTAATTTATCTATCTCTTATAATTATCAAGTTAGCAATAGTTAACTTAAGTTTGAGGACTTACATTATTATTCAATCACGTAACACCCCCGGCCTCAACACATTTTTTTGGCCCAACTCAAATGAAGCACCCTGTGTATAGAGCACAATAGCTAGCTTTATAGGTTAGGTTTTGCATAACAAAAATTCACATTTCATTAAAATAAATACATATTCTGTCTTTTGAATTCAAAGGAATGGCAAGCACTTTATTGAAATATGTTTCATTTAACAACAAAGTATTAAGTAATAAAGTCCCATCACTTAGTTCATTTTATATTTCATATCGTAATGGTCATCATATTCGGGGTAAACCACCGGAACTAGCAAGAAGCATAAAACAGCGTTTGGAAGGTCAGCACGAATAAATTCATTGGTAATCTCCTCAATGTTTTGTCCTACAGAAATGAACTATAAAGATCCTAATATTCACTACCGTGTTGACATCGGTTTTCCCCACGCATCAAAGTCGAGACGCGAAGAACTCCAGCACCGCCTTGGTATAGTGAAATCGAACCGACAAAATCAAGAGTTGGAACAGAAGGCTAGGAACGGCGAACGTAGGTGCATTGTGTCGTAAAGTGATCCGTTCTCACGTTTGTTTTAGTATTAATCGATTTGGCGGAAGCGAGACGCGATTGGATGAAATCGTCGGGGCCACATCAAATTAAGGAAACCGCCGATCACTACGGGGTGTTTAATGACTTGTTCGGTGACGCTTATTTTATTCCTCGTGTTTCACTCGACATTCTGTATCACATCTCCGACGAGCAACAACTACCAGTGTACTATGGGAATATTGTTAAGCCGTCGATGGCTGTCAAACCACCGGAAGTGAGTTACGAGGCGGATGAGGGTAGCTTGTGGACTTTAATATTAACCAACCCAGATGGGCATTTTTCAGATACAAATTCGGAATACGTGCACTGGTTTGTGTAAGTATTTTAAGATAAAGAACAAAAATAATTAAGGTTATGTTATATACAGTGATATTTATTATGTCTACTTTTAAATGACAAAATCCTTCTTAAGGATGCCTAATGTTATGCAACAAAAATAACTTCGTGTTCACAGTACCAGGCTCTATCAATTTAAATCGCCGTTTGGGGAATGAGTGTGATAATCCTTTGATAAAATCAAACAATCCTTAGCGATGCTCCAATTCTATCTTGTCCACAAGACTTGGTTGGTGAGGGTGAAAAAGTCATTTGATTTTTGTGTTGGTCGCTTACAAACCAAGAACTTGACATGTGTTTATACGATCTTGACGCAAACTTTCGGCCCCTCCCGACCCGCTTTCCCACCAACCACTCATCATTATTCGTATCTGTAAATTGTAATTGTTTCCCGCCAAAAAAAACCAAACGGAACCAACGCAAAATTGACGACTGCGTCTGTTTTTTTTTTGCAACCCACGCTAACCAAACCCGTCTACGTATTCAATTATATTTATTTATTTTTATTTTATTTTATTGCCTTTATTTTATAGTGGGCGGAGTGTTAGCAATTTGCTACTCTTCCCACTCAACCCACTATACAATCACAAACAGCCATGCCTTACCTGGGATTCGAACCCAGGACCCTTGTAGCCAAAGTTAGAGCTTCTAACGTAAGCTCTTCTGAGCTACGCAGGTATTATTCAAGAGTAATTTGGTTGTGGCTAATTTGAGTACATACGTACAGAATAATGGAAGCAATTTAATAATGGGCCATTGTAAGAGGACTCATGTGTAAATTATGCTGTTTGTGAAAGTGAATTAAATCAGTTTGCCCAAATTACAAAAGACTCTAAACTTACAGAGTTCGTAAATGATTATATTATAAACAGTATTCATTTCAAGAATAGTAAAAAATAATGTTACAACTATTTTAGTGACTATTAATAACTTCTTTTTAATGTTGAGTGACTAACACTACTCATTTGTACGTGTTGCAGAGGTAATATTCCAGGAAGTAATATTGGAAACGGTGATATAATTATGGACTACTTACAACCGTTTCCCCCGCGAGGGACTGGTCTTCATAGGTATATTTTTATATTGTATAAACAGGAGGGACATGTTGACTACTCATCATTGAAAAAATCTTCGCCATGGTTGGTTGGTATTATAGGTTTGAACGATTTTCTCCTCAGTACTTCGTTACAGTTACAATCTAAAGGACCGGACTTTCAACACCTTTACCTTTTATAGAGATCGTCAGGATATTTTAACACCGGCAGGTTTGGCCTTTTTCCAATCCGACTGGGACAGCACTCTTACTGACTTCTATCACAAATGTTTAAGTAAGTGCGGCGATCAGTACGAATAGGCTAACAATAAGTTGCAGATATGCGAGAACCTGTCTTCGAATATGATTTTCCTAAACCGTACATAAGACCTCAGGAATGGTTTCCGAAACGAAAGCCTTTTAATATATACATGGATAAGTATAGGGATCCGAAGCAGATTAATAAAGAATTTTTGATGCGCAAATTGAAACATGTGCATCCGTTCAAGCCCCCTCCAAAACCGTTACCGTATCCGAATGCGGTTGTTTTTGAGGGTTATTATCCTTCGTGGCTGAAAACGGAAATCACTAAATCGAGATTAAGGTGGGGAAGAATTAACGACATTGAATAAGTGATTACATTTTTCAAATAAAATCTGTACAAAAATCTTTTTTTCATTCCCTTATGGTTTCTAGTCGTTTCTTGCCAGCTGCTCGACCTGTAAGATTTCAAAATGTTATCCTTACTGAGATCCTTACTCTGTCTCTTTTGTTCTCGTACTTCTAAGTAATACTTTTAAGTAAATGTGCAGGTAGCATTTCTACTTGTACCACACGCTCTTTCTTCAAGTGTAAAGCACATTTTTATACAGCGCGTAAATTTTTACTCTGGACATACAAATCGCTTGCATATAAAACTCCCTACGGTCAATTCTAAAATATACATTTCAAATGCCCCTTAAGATATGCAACCAATCTTACTACCGACTATTTTATTATAGGATTTATAATTTGTCATATAATCCCAATGAATTCACTGTATAATCCCAAGCAGCACATTTAAAATCCTTTACAAACTTTATGTTTTAAAAGATGTTGTTTGAAGTAGTGTTTATTATTTGTCCCATACCCACAAGTAGTACATTTAAAATCGTTAGAAACTTTATGTGTTAAAAGATGTTGCTTGAAGTTGCTTTTATAATTTGTCTCATAATCACAATCCGGACATTTAAAATCCTTTGAAACTCTATGTTTCAAGATATGTTGCTTGAAGCTGCTTTTATAATTTGTTCCATAATCACAATCGGCACATTTAAAATCCATAGACACTTTATGTTTTAAAAGATGTAGTTTGAAGTTGATTTTATCATTTGTCTCATAATTACAATTAGCACATTTAAGATCCTTCAAAACTTTGTGTATTAAAAGATGTCGTTTGAGGAGCTGTTTATTATTGGTTCCATAATCACAAGTAGCACATTTAAGATCCTTCGAAATTTTATGTTTTAAAAGATGTTGTTTGAAGTTGCTCTTATCATTTGTCCCGTAATCACAATGGGCACATTTAAAATCTTTAGAAATTTTGTGTTTTAAACGGTGTTGTCTAAACTTATATCTCTCGTTTGTCTCATAATCACATTCATCACATTTAAAATCCTTTTTATGTGTTAAAAGATGTTTTTGTAAGTTGCCTTTATAATTACAATCACCACATTTAAAATCTTTCAAAACTTTATGATTTAAAAGATGTCGTTTGAAGTTGCATTTAACATTCGTCTGATAATCACAATTAGCACATTTAAAATCCTTAGAAACTTTATGTTTTAAAAGATGTTGTTTAAAGTTGCCTTTATAATTTGTCCCATAATTACAAACACCGCATTTAAAATCTTTTGAAACTTTATGATTTAAAAAATGACGTTTGATGTAGCGTTTATTGTTTGTCCCATAACCACAATCAGCACATTTAAAATCCTTAGAAACTTTATGTTTTAAAAGATGTCCTTTGAGGTTGCGTTTATCACTTGTCTCATAATCACAATTCCCACATTTAAACTCTTTAGACCCTGTTTTGCATAGAGTCAAAAAGTGACATTGCAAGTCAGAATGTTGCTGTACTTCTTCATTAGAAAGAGATGTAGAACATGGTGTACTAATGCCACTAGTGATAACTTCGTCCTTTATTGTCACCAATACTTCGTTGTTTACTGAAATGTGTCTCTGAAGAAAAGAATGGATTTCTTCTTCTTGTTTTGGTTCAATTTTAATATGTAGTGCGTCATCTCCATCCATACCTAATAACAATAATGTTATACTATGCGATCAAAAATGAGTTGCTGCGAGTGACCTTTGCAATTTTTGTTTACATGGGAAACCGTACTTAACTTGAACTTTCAAAGGTGACTAGACAGCAACTCATTTTTGATCGCCAGTTACTTGTAAATGTGTTAAAAATCAGTTTTGGGGTTATCAAAAGTCTATTTTGGTACAATACACTCTAATTCACTTGAAATTCACACGACTAAATATTTTATTCAAGGTACTTGGGCATAGTTCGAATTATACAGCTCTTTCTTGATTAAATTCGACTTACAGAGGTAACTGTGATAGTAAACAGATGCTACACCGGGTATGATTCACAGACATGTTGCAACCTGTAGCCATGGTTCCAACTTACAGAGGTCTGTTGAGAAAACTTCGAGATGTAGACGTAAACTAAACTGGATTCTGTTTGGTAATTTTTTAGATTTAGACAGGATTCCCAGAGGGATTAAAGATTGAAAACACACAACTAGCTAGAGCCGACTGTATTAAACAATAAAAAGCGAGCAACCAGACAGTACTTACTTTCTGAGTAACACAGTAACAGAATTTGTTGAATAAAGAGTTTCACCACGCCACCAATAATTATTTTTATTTTCTTTGTTTATTCAAACCTTATTTTGTTATAACAATGGGCGCGTTCATAACACACAACCACAGACCATAAAGGTAGGTTTACACATGAATCATGATTGCTAAAATCTTGAACAAAAAAGTTTTTTGATCACGAATTCCTAACCTATAAATGTAAGGATATTTTTACTCAAATGTCAGGTTAGTCAATATTTGTAATTAAAGAGGAGCATAATCGTGCAGTACTTTTACTTGTATTTAAATTATTTTCATAATCCCAACAAAAATACGTAATTCGAATGCAAATTTGAACTCTTAAAGTCGCGCGTTCTTCCTGTTCTTTCGGTAATAGTTATTTACATAATAAGTCATGAAAGTGGTCGTTTACATGACGCGGAGGCTTATTGAAAAGTACGAGGACGCGCAGCGTCCGAGTATCTCTTTAATGCCTCCAAGTCAGGTGGACTCCCTTTCATGACGTATTATGTATAAAATTTTACCTGAAACCGCAACATGTAGATAACTTTTCCAAATTAAATTATTCATATGTGTGAAATTTTGATACCTAATCACGCATGTTAAAGTCACTTTATTTAATTGTTTCCATAGAGATTTCAATCATAGTCATTTTTAATGCAGTTTGCAGTTTATGCTTTGTACTTTTCAACTATACAGTCTTTATAACTAGGTACAAAAGCAGTAGTGCAATATTCGCTCCCCACAAAATCAAGAAAGAGATACGAAAAGGCGTACAAACCTTTTAATGACTGGCGCAAAACTAAAGGAATAATTACTTCCACACATATTCCATTAATTGTTAGTAATTAAAAGACCATTATCCTTTGTGTAGGTGTATTAATATTTAAAAATATCCACATAGTCTGCATTATAAATATCCAATCGTTGATTGAATAACTTATTCAATGATCTAATTGTTATTTTGCATGTACTAGGACTGTAATGGGAGTCAGGCAAAAATATTACAGTACTAGTCAGGTAAAGATTAACTTTCTAATGTCAAAATAGCCCTGAAATTTAGATTTTCTTGACGGTTTCAGGTAAACGTAATTATACGAACCACGATTTTGAATTCATGTTCGCGCTTTCGCGGAAGTAGCCGAAAGAAAGCGCATCCAGTCTCCATATGATATTAGCATTCTTGGCAACGCTGCATTTTATTTAGATCAGTGGTTGAGAATCGTGTCCAGTTTTTTTATAAATGAAAGTGTTTTATTATGTTTACTACTGGTAAGTATGTACTTTTCACCGAGCATTAGATTTTCATTCATTTTAATTACCATTGGAAGGATAATAAAGTTTGTATTGGTCCAAGATCCGAGCACTACTAAATGTTACACATACTGTTTTTAATATCATTTGAATATCTTTAGGACCATTTCATAAACGCCTGATTGGTCCCGATGAGACGGGCCATTGTTTAAGTTTACTTTTTCACGCGTACCATCAGTCGACCGATCAAATACCTAAGCAGGGGCATCGGTCTAGCCCCTGTGATCAGAACACATTCCAGCCATTGAATTAAGTGAGGGTTTCATATGTGTGCCTTCGAACAGTTGGCTATGGAATAACAGCATTCCACCATTTGTGTCATTTAAAAAAAAGGTGGCAAAACACAAGTACTTATAGATAGTACTGTAGTTTGTGCAGTAGAAAAGAGAAAAACAATTTGGGATAGGGGATCAGAAGATTATAAAAAAATCGGAAACTAAAAAGTACTGCTTGGAATGGCAAAGCAAAAAGTGACAACGCGTTATTATGCGCTATGCATGTAAATTTTTGCAACTGACCAAACGCATGCATGGTGTTCAGGATTAAACTAAACATGACATCACTGCCAATTGTGATGAAGGGCAATGTCCCTGTGCATACTAACACTACCCTTTAACAAATTTTGTTACTCGGAAAGTAAGTAACCTCTGATGGCTCTGGGATCTCACTCTGTATTGTTTAATAGCAAAATATTTTTTTAACACATTTATTTATAACATTATTGTTAGGTATGGAAGGAGATAATGACACACTACTTATTAAAATCGAACCGAAACAAGAAGAAGAAATCAATTCCATTCTTCAGGGACACATTTCAGTAAGCAACGAAGTTTTGGTGACAATAAAGGACGAAGTTGCCATTAGTACACCATGTTCAACATCAGTTTATAATGAAGAAGTAGAGCAACACTATGACTTTCAACGTCACCGTTTAACGCAATGCAAAACAGTATCTAAAAAGTTTAAATGTGCTGATTGTGATTATGCGACAAACTATAAAAGCAACTTGAAGCAACATCTTTCAACACATAAAGTTTCTAAGGATTTTAAATGTGGTACTTGTGATTATGGGACAAATAATAAACACCTCCTCAAACAACATCTTTTAAAACATAAAGTTTCTAAGGATTTTAAATGTGCTACTTGTGATTATAGCACACACTATAAACCACTCTTCAAACAACATCTTTTAAAACATAAAGTTTCCAAGGATTTTAAATGTGCTACTTGTGATTATGGAACAAATAATAAACACCTCCTCAAACAACATCTTTTAAAACATAAAGTTTTTAAGGATTTTAAATGTGCTACTTGTGATTATGACACAAATTATAAGCAACTTTTCAAACGACATCTTTTAATACATAGAGGTGCTACTTATAATGATGATGGGACAAATAATAAACACTTCGTCAAACAGCATTTTTTAACCCATAAAGTTTCGAACGAGGTTTCGAAGGATTTTAAATGTCCTGATTGTGTTTATGGGACCAATGATAAATACCTCTTCAAACGACATCTTCTAACCCATAAAGAAGTGAAGGATTTTAAATGTGTTAATTGTGATTATGGGACAAATGATAAATACTTCTTCAAACGACATCTTTTAATCCATAAAGTTTTGAAGGATTTTAAATGTGCTGATTGTAATTATGGGACAAATAATAAATACATCTTCAAGCAACATCTTTTAAAACATAAACTTTCTAATGATTTTAAATGTGCTACTTGTGATTATGAGACAAATGATAAATACAACTTCAAATCTCATCTTTTAAAGCATAAAGCTTCTAAGGATTTTAAATGTACTACTTGTGATTATGGCACTAATTATAAAAACCTCTTCAAAAAACATATTTTAAAACATAAAGGTTCTACTAAGTTTAAGTGTGCTACTTGTGATTATGAGACAAATAATAAATACAACTTCAAATCTCATCTTTTAAAACATGAAGCTTCTAAGAAATTTAAATGTGCTACTTGTGATTTTGGCACTAATTATAAACATCTCCTAAAAAAACATGTTTTAAAACATGAAGGTCCCACTGACTTTAAGTGTGCTACTTGTGATTATAGGACAAATGTTAAATACAACTTCAAATCTCATCTTTTAAAACATAAAGTTTCTAAGGATTTTAAATGTACTACTTGTGATTATGGCACTAATTATAAAAACCTCTTCAAAAAACATTTTAAAACATAAAGGTTCTACTGAGTTTAAGTGTGCTACTTGTGATTATGAGACAAATAATAAATACAACTTCAAACAACATCTTTTAAAACATAAAGCTTCTAAGAAATTTAAATGTACTACTTGTGATTTTGGCACTAATTATAAACATCTCCTAAAAAAACATTTTTTAAAACATGAAGGTTCCACTGACTTTAAGTGTGTTACTTGTGATTATAGGACAAATGTTAAATACAACTTCAAATCTCATCTTTTAAACCATGAAGTTTCTACTATTTTCAAATGTAATACTTGTGATTATGGGACAAATGATAAACAACTCTTCCAACAGCATATTTTAACCCATCAAGTTTCGAAGGATTTTAAATGTACTAATTGTGATTATGAGACAAATGTTAAACGCTACCTCCAACAACATGTTTTAAAACATAAAGTTTCTACAGATTTTAAGTGTGCCGATTGTGAATATGGGACAAATCTTAAATGCAACTTGACACGACATCTTTTAACGCATATATTTTCTAAGAAGTTTAAATGCGCTGATTGTGGTTATGAGACAAATTATAAATCCGATCTTAAAAAACACATTTTAAAACATAAAGTTGCTAAGGATTTGAAATGTGCTCATTGTGATTATGAGACAAATTATAAAAGCAGCTTCAAACAACATCTTTTAAAACATAACGTTTCCAAGGATTTTAAATGTGCCGTTTGTGATTATGAGACAGTATAAATCCGTATAAAGTTTCTAAAAATTGTTGATGTGTTGAGGGCGCATGCGCAAAAAACAATATTCAAATTAATTATGACAGCCAGATCTGTATTTGTTTTAGGAAGTTGCATAAAATTAGGCGCCCTTCGGAAGATATTGTCATTTAGAAGTAGACATAGGGACAAACAATACACGTAAATCCCTATGTCTACTGTTTAATAAATAGCACTGCAGATATAAAACTAATAGAAATTTGACAGTAAAGCTGACTTTTACTAACAAACTTAGGTAGAGCACCCAGAACAAAAAACTTAGAAGGGAAACGTAAACGGGAACAACTGAGTACAAATGGAATTAGTTTGGAGAACATTCAATAGATGGCGCATAGTTAGCGTGCGTGTTAAAGTTACTAAATCTAGTGACTTTAGTACGTGTCGCCATTATGACAGTTGAATTTTGAATTTTTATTGACGGCTTATTGTGCTTTAAGTATAATTACTATTCATTATTACAATGAATTATGCATATACAAATCGAGAACGTAAATGTTGTGTGACAAATTGTGAAGACGTATCACAAAAATGGAGCCCGAAGTTTTTATGGAATTGGTTTAGAATATAATGTGGAAGAAATTTACACAAAAGTTTTTGGTTTGTGAACGTCATTTTTCTGGTTGCGCTTTAGAACCTGGAACACGAAGAGGTTTAAAGCGTGTGGCAGTTCGCACATTATTATCTTTAGCAGGTAACACTAATTGAATTGTAATAAATTGCTACATATTTTGTTTTTAGAACAATCTTGAGAGTATCATAAAGCAGAGTTCCATGAAGTTGATCTTGTATCTTGTATATCCATATTAAATTAAATATAACTCCTTGGTTGGATTAATTGGAGTTGTTACTTATAAAACAAGTGGTCTGTACCCTTTGAAGCCCCTGACTGCTGTGCATCGGCATTAAACTGAATTTATCTGGATCCCTATCAAACAAAATTGGACTTCACTGGCTGGATTCATTTACCTTTTAGGTTTCAGCTAGTCAAATCCAATGTTATTGTTACAGATCCGGAGAAATGCAGTATAATGCGGACGTAGCTTACATTTTAATATTTAAATTTGGCGCCATTCACGCAAAAGCTGCTGAGAACATACACGAGATGGCGCGTCATTTTTACATTACATTAGAGTTTCCATTCTAAGTTTGTTGTTCTATGGTAGAGCAGTATAATTTGCAATATAGAAGACTTCACTTTTTCAGTTTATCATGTGCGCTGTCGTAATGCAGTAATGTGTATTTGTTTATAAAATGCCTGTTTATGTTTCGTGTTCATCAATACATCTATAACTCTGATGCCTTTTTTATCCTTTTTAGATTTGTAAACACGATTACTGTTAATTGGTATGCATTAATTGATCCCTACTGTGTTACAACAAATGATACAATCTGGTGGTGAGCCCAGAGTTACAATAATACAATAGTAAATAGAGGAGCGGTACCAGGACCTGCGCATGGAAAAATAATCCCAAGTAGAGTGGCTAGAAAGAAACCTGGAAAAATTGTAAAAGTATCATAGTAACCATAGTGAAATTTAAACTGATAGATGCAAGTGTGTTTTTACTTTTTTTAATGATATATTTTACATTTCCTGTTTTCGTTAGTATTTTCGTATACGTACGCAAATTATACTAATTGAAATTAGGTTGTCTCATGTGTAAGCAACTTTTTCTAATGTAACTGATTTGGTATGTACATAAAATAATTTTTAATTGATTTTGTTGTTTCCTCCGTATTTAATCAAATGGCATGATATTAAAGGCAATAAAATTCTCTACAAGAAAGCTTCAGTGCAACATTTGCCTAAATTCGTACCATTAGTTTATAAAATAAGCAATATATATGGATTTCTGCCATAAACTCAATGATAAATGTGGAAAAAATGGCGGTTATGAGCATTTGACCACACTGTATCTATAGTCACTGTAGGCAATGACATAAATGCTATCTAGCGGTTCAACATAAAATAAATAACCAAATAACGTTTTATAATTAAGCAACCTTCTGCAGAAACAATGGGTCACAACAGTGTGATAATGTTCTGAAAGGATTGCTACAATCTATTCATCAACACTCTGTATACAATAAAGGTAAAATATTTTATATTTGTAGTTGGCAATGCTCTCTAAAATCTCCCAAACAATAATATTATACTATCGTCTCTGTTCGGTCAAAAGGATATGTATCGCGCTATCTCTTTTTTTAAACTTTTTCATATTTGTTTTATATATAAAAATACCATTTAGGTGAATGTACAGAGAACGTTTTCAAATTAACAATTTTTGTGATCGGTGACCTCTTTTTCTATTTTTCATGCTCGAATAATCATCTTGCCGTCTAAATGTGACACACTTTCCAAATTTTCATTTACAAAAAATGGCAAATGCACAGCCCGAGGAACACGAATATTTTCCGAGAACCGGTCGAGTTAACGAAATGTGCAGAGAATGGGTGGTAAGAGAAGACGGTGCCCTGGCCCATCACTTACAAAGTCAAGAGATAAACGAGCACCTGCAAGGTAATCGCTTTCGGAATGCACTTGTACGCGAGGATTTCCCACACGCGTTAGATGAGCAGTTACGCGAGCAACAGCTTGCCGAACAGGCTGCGGCTGTTTATCATCAAATGCTCGCCGAACAGGAAGAGATAGACACGATGTACGCACAGAAGTTAGCCGATAATTTGGAAAGGGAGGAACGGTCACGAAGGCGTGTGCTTGAATCTCACGATGACATGTTCGTTCGTCAGCTGTTGGATGTGAGCCGTTCACCCACCTCACGCATTCACCAGTCTGAGGAGATAACCACTGCATCGAAAACGTACAGGTATTTCCAGAAATCACAGGTCTTTTTAAAGCGATTTTTTTAATCTCACTGAAATCACTTGTGATGCTCTTTGGCTTTCTTTGATCTTGAGGAAATCACGATTTCTTTTTGTTTTCTTTTCTGATTTGTTTTCAGTATTCTCAAATTTGTTCAGGTAACCTTTTTACCCAGGAAGTGTATTTATAATGCCAAAAACAGTGAATTTTTCCTTTGTATGTCACGGAGTGTTTTTCAGAAAGCATATTATAACAGGTTGAAGGAATCGATGGTTTTACCTACACTTTTGGATATGTCTATGTACCGGCTGACCCAATAAGTCTGTTCCTCGGCCATATCTTGGGAACCGTTTGTCGTTTGGCTTGGGGGTAAAAAAATTATTAGGTAAATCGGTAATGAAGGATCGCTGGAAAATATTTTCAAGTTCTAAAAATGACCAACAGAGGGCGTAACTGCCATCTTGAATTTTAAAATTGCATTTTCTTTCAATTTCGCATAATAAACTAAACATTCTTAAACATTTTTAAAAAGAACCAGTTTATCTATCATTTTCATAAAAACAAAAACTCAGTTAATTCAAAAATAAAGATGGTGTGGGGCGTTCAATTGTTTTTGTAATAACCTGCTTTAACTTCTTAACCGTTTGACCAATTGTAACAAATTTGGTATAAAAGTAACCAGAGAGTAAAAGAGCATTCCTTGGGCAACAAGAATCAACCAAAATATAATTAATTTAGTTGAATCTTTCTCCGCCAGGGGGCTAGTTTTGACACTATAATCCAAAATCCTAAAAAAATCAAATGGAATGATACCAAATAAGACCCAAAGAGGCCAGTGAAAACCGTTTTTCAAAATCTCGTTCCTAACCTCAAATATTGGGAAAATTAGATTAATTAATTAATTAATAAAAACGTATTTCTGATATTTGTCGATGGCCCGAAAGATTGTTTGGAAAATGACCCTACACTTTTAGGTAGGTCTTGGAAAATTAAACAAATGAAACACAATGCATTATAAAATAATAACAGTCGTAGTTTGTAAATTATTCTGTTGTGTTTACATTTAGAAAGTGCAGTTTTTTGAATTTTTAATCTTTTCTAAAATGTCTATTTCTAACCAAGAAGCATTTAATAAGCTGGCGGCGATGGTTCGTGGACGATTCGGATAACGCAAATAGAAGATGCAGCGATGGTCGCATTTTGAAAATACTCAAAATATATCGCCAGCAAAAGATTACAAATTCAAAAAACTGCACTTTCTTTAATGTAAACACAGCAGAATAATGTGCAAATTATGGCTGTTATTATTTTATAATGCATCATGTTTCATTTGTTCAATTTTCCAAGGCTTACCTAAAAGTGTAGGGTCATTTTCCAAACAAATACCAGAAATACGTCAAATAAGATACAGTTTAAGCATTTTTATTAATCAATTAATTAATCATTCTCATTTTCGTAATATTTGAGGTAGGAAGGAGATTTTGAATGTTATTTGGCTACTTTTTCATGAAGAAAAAGCGAGAAAAAGTCATATCATTCCATTTGATTTTTTTAGGATTTTGGGTCATAGTGTCAAAACTAGCCCCCTGGCGGAGGAGGATTCAACTAAATTAACTATATTTTGGTTGATTTTCATTGCCCAAGGAATGCTCTTTTCAACCATACCAAATATTTAAAAAATCGGTGGTTAAGAAGTTAAAGCAGGTGATTGCAAAAACAATGGAATGCCCCACGCTATCTTTGTTTGTGAAATAACTGAGTTTTTGTTTTTACGAAAATGATAGATAAACTGGTTCTCTTTAAAAATGTGAAAAAAGAATGTTTAGGTAATTATGCGAAATTTAAAGAAAATGCAATTTTAAAATTTAAGATGGCAGTTACGCCCTCTGGTGGTCATTTTTAGAACTTCAAAACATTTTCCAGCGATTCATCATCTTCATAACCGATTTACCCAATAATTTTTTACTCCTAAGTCATATGACGAACGGTTCTCGAGATATGGCCGAAGAACAGTCTTATTGGGTCACCTGGTATATGTAATCTCAGAATTTAACGGTTCATGAGAGTTACGTTACCCATTGTATATATAACTTAAGTAATGAAGGGAATTTTTCTATTTTAAGTGGATGGAAAATGGTCGAATGGGATTGGTTATTTGAGTTAACAGGTTCAAATATAACCAATCATAATGAAAACAGTCAAGGTCTAAGAACTAAGAAGGTTTATCATATTTAATATTTAACGCGTTTTCTTAAACAAATTAAATTCTCTCCCAGGGATACCCCCCCCCCTAGAAAAAGAAATAGATTCCTAATGTACATCCTGGGTATTCCTAACCCCCCAGACCCCTCGATGGGTTATGTATTACACAAACAAAAGATAGTGAGATGGCACTCCCAAGAAAAAATCAGAAAACATTGTTGGGGGAGAAATTGGTTGATTTCATAGTGTTCTAGCTCAGGGTCTCGACAAAAGGATCTACCGGCCTTCTTTCTTACCCCTTATCAAAATGGGAGGGGGGGGGCGTAACTGGTTTTATCCTTCATGCTACTCTTATGAAATGTCTCAACGAAAGGAATTCATTATTTATTATGTTTTAATCTAAAAAGATACCGTATTCTTTTTTTAAAAAAATATAAAAATTCAATATTGATTCAAAAAATTCAAAAATCTGAAAATTCTTTTGTATTTTTTTAATCACTTAGAATTTTTTTAAAGCTCTAATCAGTGCAATCTTTTTTTAATACCATCTTTGGCGTGTTATATTTTTGAAAAAAAAAACGGCATTTTAAAGAAACTTTTGTAATTTGTAACTAAGAAAAGAAATTAACAATTTTTCGATTTTTGTTCATATCTCTTAAGCGAGCGAAAATTTTACCATTTTAAGTGTGACCCAAAAAGAGCACCCTCTATTACTTTTTTATTATACCTGAATCACAATCTCCGTTTTAAACACTCAAATGCGTGCGAAAAAGGGCCTTTAAAACACACGTGCTTTAAAGTTGCTAAGTAACGATACTTCAAGTATGACTTTTGAAACTGTCATCTGGATGAAATAAAAAATCCTCTTAGGTCGCTTTCTGTAAATGCAGAACATTTCTTTGGCTTTTGTACCTATCCTTTGGTTGAAGCTTTCACAAAGGCGCGTAATTTAGGGTATGCTTCCAAATCTGTTCCACTTTTTAATCGCAGCATTGCTTTAAAGTTTTGAATGAATGCACCAAAATATAGAAGATTTAAATACCTTTGACATTTCCTTCATATATGCTAGCATTATGGATGCATTTAAGACTGTATTCGTAAGTAACTTCCTATTCATCCATGGAAACAACTTTTCATATTCTTTATAATAGGCTTTACTGGAGTTGGATTTTACACCTACCAACGTTTGTTTAGATTTTACAACAATTGATTTAATGGACGGTGTATTATCTTTTTCAACGGAAATCGTTTAATTCACAAAGGCGATGATTTTTATAAGCAAACGTCAAGTGACATTTCCATGGCAATCGTGAAATTACGAACACCCAGCCCACTTAATTAGACATGTATTCGAGTATAACGTCAATATGACTTCATTGTATTTCCTATTTTTAAATTATACTGCAGGTATAATAAAAAATACTATAAGATACACGTGTATAATTAGTCTTTAAAGCACTTGCAACGTTAAAGGCACTCCGCTTTGCGTCGTGCCCTTAAACTCGTTGCGCGTGCTTTAAAGACTTGATTATACACTTGTATCTTAATATACTATTTTGATAGCAGTAACAATTACGGAGACCCTATAAAAGTGTCGAAAATGGTACACAATTCTAGCTTTGTTAATCTCTCAATTTTACGGATACCTATACCTCCATAATATCCACCAATGGCCATATTGCGGATATTCATAAATATTTGCATACGCTTGACCAATAAAATACTAAACCATATTTTTGGGATATGGAATGTGATTTTTTTCAAAATCTTTTGTGTCGGTTCGCTTGTCACTCATAAAAATATACAAATTTGTTCACGGAATAGGTGGGTCGACCTCTTCAGGAATGTTAAATTGACATAAAATTTTTTTTTATACAAAATCCCCAAAACGATCGACTCCTATTTTCTTCAATTGACAGCTGATTTTCTTCTCTTGAAAGGTAGCCGAAAATCAAAAAATTGGATTGTGGAACGTCTTGTGCTATACAATCGGATCTATTGTATCACCTGGTTTTGAAAGATTGTAGACTACTCAAATCAGGAACAAACCGAACTTCCGGTTTCTCGAAATTTGTTTATTCACTGTAATAATTAGACATTGTTCCACAATAGGGAAATGTCAAAATTACCCTTATAACTGTAGCGCAATGAAACGTGCTGTAACCACAACTCTTATGGTAACAATTTATTTAAAGGCGATCACCCTGCTCCAATAATGTAACAAAACAAAAGTGTTCGCGCACGTGGCAAGAATGTGACGTATTCGCACTGTGTTTACGGTTAAACATAAATCAGTCGCTACCCGACGAAGTTCCACTTTTGCATAAATACGTCACTTAGTATTATTGGTTTTGCTTGTAATGGCAATTCACAATGAATTTAAAAAGCGCGCACGACAATAATTTCGTCAAAATGGCGGCGCAGTTTTCCCTTGGAATTCGCCGATTAACTTCAATTTTCGCAATAAAATATACTTAATTAAGCGACTGACGATTCCTTCTTACACTTCGATTATACGGCTTCGTCTAGAACCTTGTAATGCCCCTTTTGTCCCCGAATTGCTTCGGAACAAAAGTGACCGATAGCTGTACCCGCGTGCCCACGGAGGAAAATGCCAGGGTTCGCAGTTTGTCAGAATTCCAAAGGAAGATATCACAGCTAACAGGATTTATTCTTTGTAATAATTATAAACAAAAGTATTTGGATTTTTATAAATAAAATAAAATGTCTTCTTTGAACGCGATAGATGTGGTCGCGTCTATTCTGTGGTATGGTGGCGCCGCGCCGTCGCCTTGTTAGTTGACCCTGGACTTGACTTGATGTATCGTTTATAGTGCTCTCTGTA